GTGTGCAGTCAGTTCAGAGAGACATAGGTTTGAATGGGTGGGGGTATGCAAACAAATTATGCGGACAAATTTCACGTCAACAGTTCTCAATGAACAGGTCAAGGGCAGGTAAAAGGCCAGAGGGAAGGGGTGCAAGTGGTGGGAGAATGTTGTAGGGAGGTGAAAGGGTGTGTGGGATGGGGAGAGGACTGCTGTCAAAAGAAATGGGCATGGAAGTGCAGGTGACGGAAAAGGAGTTCAATGTCATGTTGTACCTGAAATTTGTGGGGGCAAGGGGCAGATGTATAAAACTAAGACCTTTGCTGACTGCAGAACATCTAGCATCGGACAGCAGAAGATCGGACGGGATAGTAAATACCTGATAAGAGGCGGGGTTAGGAAAAGGGAGTCAGAGGGAAGAGGATGGGGGCAAGGTTCCATAGGAGTGTGGCTACCTCTGAATTTCTGAAGTTTGTGTTCCTAAATGCCTGAAAGGAAGATAAAAAGTTTCTTGTTAGAACGTTGATGAGTGGAGAATGAAGTGGAACTCTGAGGCAGGACAGCTCTGAGATAACGTGAGGCGATGCTTATGGAGAGGTCGAGAGTGTGCATGTAGTGGCACATGGCACTGAGTATGGCCCTCAGCTCACAATGAGAAGAGGTGTTTGAGGAGCATTGTACACCCTGGAGATACCTGTGATCCTGAGTGGATTTGAAAGACAACAGATGAAACTTCAGTTCGAATCCACATGGTGTGAATGTTGAATCATAGGCAGTCACTGAGAAATTAGATGTGGCTGTGAAAGCAAGTTTTGGCAAATACCTTGTCAAACACCAGAAGAAGTGAGAATGAAAGTAATGAAGGTGAGCAAGAAGAATGATCAGAATGGAAATCCTATCGCAGAGAGGAGCAGAACTTCTTCATGGTGGGCATACATGGAAGAGATGTAGCAGCGAGTTAAACAGTAAAATAAAGCAAGGAACTGCAGAAGCTGGAAATCTGAAAACAAGAAATTGCTGTAGAGAAAGCAGAGGTAATGTTTCAAGTCCAGTGACCCTTCTTCAGAACTGACAGCAGTTAGGAAAAGATGCTATGCATGCTGAAGACGGAGGGAGCAAGTGCATAGGCAGAGATGAAGCCCTGAGGGACAGCGAGTGACAGTTTGGGAGACAAAGGGATGGATGATATTATACCAGGGAGAAAGGGTTATAGTGAAATGAGTTGGCTGTGCTGAAAACATACAAGGCCTTGGGTGTTGGGGTGGATAAAAGACATGGAAGAAGATGTTCTGGTTCTAAAATTATTGAACTCAATATTGAATCCTGAAGACCGCAGGGACCCAAGTGGAAAATGAGATGCTGTTGGTTGATGCTTGCGCTGAGCTGTGGTGTTGTGGAAGGGAAGAGAAAGGGTGAGGGCAGAAGAGTGGGAAATAGGTTGGACTTTCTGAGTCACTGTACTTCCCAGTTCGACGTGATCTAGTTGAGCCAGTTGAAATCTGAGCACACAAGCCCAAATGGCTGTCATTTGGGTGGTAGCTGGAATTGGAGGTGTGTAACTGTAAACTGCAGCTCCAAGCAGTGGGAACTGAAATCACGGCTGCTTTGTACCCTTGAATCCATCCACCTCCCACCCTGCCAGCAGCCTCGTTTTGTGTGTGTACTGTTTACTTTGCTGTCATCAAGGACCCATTTTCTCCCTTTCACACCTTAAATAGCACCTCTACTCTACATCTCTATTCCTTTTTAGCTACAATTAACAATCCCTTTGTCTTTTTACACTGGTCCTTCACATTATCTATTCCCCTGAGTCAAAAATAGCCTTTTCATTTCTGAAGAAAAGTCGTACGGCACTTGAAACATTAATTTGGTTTCTCTCTCCATAGATGCTGCCAGACCTACTGAGTTTCTCTTGCATTTTTCGTGCTGTTCTAGGGATCTCTGTCCCATCCTATCCATCTATGCCTACGCTGAGTGACAGCCCAGCCCTCTGACAGTCAGCCCTGCTCCTAGCATCTGGGACATCCAGGATAATTGAATCTTCCACCTTTCCTGGGCCATTAGTCTCTCCATCAAACTTCACCCTGTTTACAAGTAGCCTGTGCCCACTCACGTTGCTGCTAATAGTGTTTAGTTTCCTGTTTCTGGGTGACCTGGTCTGTGGGCAGTCCTTAAAACTGATTGTATCCTCTAGGTTAATTGAACATTAAAGTGCAGGAGATCATATGGCTCATGCTACCTTTATCAGCTCTCCGTAAAGTTGTTATTCTTGCTCCCCAACTCTTTCACCGAGCCCTGCAACTATTACTTTCCAAAGTATCATTCCAATTCCCTTTGGCAAGTTGCTCAGGAATCTTTCTGTCACCCTTTTTCTCCATGCATTATAGATCGGAACAATTCATTGAATAAAAGCGTTTCTCTTCCACTTGTCCTATTCTGTTTTTGCCAATTATTTTAAATGTGTCCTTTGGCTACCAGTGAAACAGTTTCTCCCTACTTAATTAATTTAAAACTCTTATGCTTCTGAACACTAAAATTAAACTTCCCCAGAACTTTCTCTGCTCTGAGGATAATGTCCAGTTTCTCCAAAAGCTACAACCTTACAACTTAAACTGCTCATAATTTGCAAACTTCAACACTTAACAGTGTTATGATTTCAGCTCATGTTACTATTGGACAAATCAGATACCAGAATGAAATCTGTTAAAATAGATCACGCTTTGTTTAATTTAATGTGGTCTTTCACTTTCAAGTAAGCAGAACATGCTGCAGATTTGGTTTTAACAAGAAAAGAGGTGTATTGCACAAAAGAAGGAAAAGTAAAATAAAACAAACCGAGCTATATATAGTTTATATTTCAAACACCCAGTAAACCAAAATCCCATCTACTCCCTCATACCATTAGTTTACAATTAATCAAAATCCAAATAAATTTCCCTTCCCTGTTAAATCTGTAGGTTTGATGCTTTTGCTTTACTTCTGGTGGTGTGAGCAGTGAGACCTTTTCCTTAAATATTCACACAACTGAGAGATTTTCTCGACCCTGAACAACCTGCGGAACTCTAATCAAACACTCCTGCTTTCACAAAGTGATACCCTTAAAATTATTTTCTCAGCTCTGAACAAACACCTTCTAGGAAAAACTATTTTTGTACCTAACATCAGTCATGTGTCTTTCGAACTTTCCCGCAACTCTCATCCACATTCAATAACCTGCTTCCTCTTCTGGGTCAGAACTGAATCCAAAACGCAGGAATCACCTGGTCTGAACTGGACAGAGAGCACATGAATCACCCGGTCTGAACTGGACACTGTTCCCAGAACATAGAAACTACCTAAATTGAACTGGACACTGAGCCAAAGCACAGATATCATCCAGAAATATTTATTTACGTCAATGACGAGATATGTTTATGAAATGAAGCCACATTGTTCAAAGGTTATCAACCAAACATCAACCCAAGATATGAATATAATCACGTGAACTCTCGATTACAAGTTACTTCACATTTGTATTCCATAAGGTAAATTACCACTCACAAAGTAAAAACCTGGTGTTTTTTCCAGTCACTTTTAATTATGCCTGTTTCTACGCAGCATTGCTCACAATCTTTGAAGTGTTGAGGTCTTCCCATGGTTCATGTGTGAGGTGGCCATTCAATCCTTTGGTTCCAGAGGTGACATTGCCTCTTGGGAAATGTTGTTCTTGTGGCAAGTGTTGCTGTTCTGGTAATTTTTGCTACTGATTGTTTGCATTGTTGGGGAATTACTGACCTCTTGGACTGATGGTTATTCAATTTCCTAAACAATTGAGGAAGTCAGACCTGCCTGATCATCAGTTTTCATGACATTTCTGACCCTGAAGTGTGTTTTTAAACATTCTACAAACTCACTGGAAGTTATTGATGTTAGCTGTTTGAACTTGCTGCTGTCTGAGGAGTCGTTAACTGTGATGAGATAATAAGTTCCAGTGAGAATGAACAGCTCTATTCCAAGCTTCATCCATGAGCTGTCTGGGATGGCACGAGCAATGAGCAACTCTTTATCTTGTTTATTTTGATGTTCATTACATGCACTGCACTGGCTGATGTGGTCCTTCATCTCATTGCTCATGTTTGGGCAGTAGGACACATCTCTTACCTTCCTCGGACTAGATCTGATTCCTTGAAGGTTTATGTGGATGTGTTTCAGGCTCTATTTTGGAATAATGACCCTGCTCCTTTTGGACAAGATGCCATCTAGGGTGATCATCTCTGTTTGTCCAATCCTCTCTTACAGCAACAGAGGTCTCCACAATAGATTCAAGTCACCCTTTCATCACTATTTCCCAGAGCATTTGAAGAGCTGCATCTCATTATGTAGTTTTTTGATGTGAGTCAAATGTTTATCTGTCAGATCAGTACCTCTACTGGATTGATGGCTTTCAGAACATGTTATGCTGTTGAATCTAGAAGATTTCATGCACTATACTAGAATTACCAAATTCCATCAGAAAGAGTGCAGCTCTTGACAGCATGTCAGTGATGTACACTTGTTTCCCCTGCTTCTATCTCACTTCCAAGTGATATCCTGGCAAACAAAGTAACATAATTTTCAAACACCTAGGGACAGATATGGATAGTTTGAGAAATATGTTTCAAAGTGGCTTCTGCCCAGCCTTCACCATCAATTTCTCTCTGCCAAAAATTCACAGGTCCAGCTCTCTTTCTCAGCCTGTGCACATTGTTATTCAGTGCATGTTAACTCTCTGGATACAAATACAACGGGTTGCCCTCACTGCATGGGGATTGCTCCAAGTCCTGTGTCACTGACATCACACTGCAGGGTGGCTCCATTGTTGACATCATAATCCCTCAGCACTGGTGATGTCATCACTAGGTGTTTGATGGGAGTGAAAGCTGCTTCTTGTTCTGTGTCCCAGTCCCACTGAACACCCTGCACCGTGAGACTGTGTACACCGTTACACACTCTGGAGGACAGATCGAGCAAGAGCCTTGTTAGGTCATCCCATATGAGTTCGCTGATGTTCCAGGAAATCCAACCACTGTGTGAAAACTTTATTACAAAACTCACATCGATAGGGTTTTTCCCCAGTGAGAGTGCATTGATGGACCAGCAGATATGCTGACTGGGCGAAAGTCCTGTCACAAACGTCACACCAAAATGGCTTCTCCCCTGTGTGGACACGTTGCTGTGCACTAAAGTGTGATGATAGAAAGATGGATTTGTGACACATCTCACACGTAAATGGTTTATCCCCAGCATGAATTTGTTGGTGTTTGCGGAGATCTGATGATGTGGAGAAAGCCTTCTCACATATCTTACACATGAATGGTTTCTCCCCCGTGTGAATGTGTTGATGCACAAGGAGGGTAGACGACTGCGAGAATGATTTGTCACACACCTCACACTTGAATGGTTTCTCCCCTGTGTGAATCCTCTGGTGGACCAGAAGGATTGATGACCTTGAGAAAGATTTGTTGCATACTTCACATGTGAATGGTTTCTCCCCTGTATGAATTCTCTGATGGAGCAGGAGGTTTGATGAACTGGTGAACGATTTGTTGCATGCTTCACATGTGAATGGTTTCTGCCCTGTGTGAATCCTTTTATGGATCACCAATATCGATGACCTTGAAAATGCTTTGTTGCACACCTCACATGTGAAAGGTTTCTCTCCTGTGTGAATCCTTTGATGTAGCAGGAGGTCTGATGTCCTTGAGAATGATTTATCACACACATTACACATAAATGGTTTCTCCCCCGTATGAATCCTCTGATGAAGCAGGAGGTTCGGTGACCTTGAGAATGATTTGTTACACACTTCACAAGTGAAAGGTTTCTCCCCTGTGTGAATACGTTGATGTTTACGGAGGGTCGACGAGTCTGAAAATGATTTGTCACACACATCACATGTGAATGGTTTCTCTCCTTTGTGAATACGTTGATGTTTACGGAGGGTGGATGAGTCTAAAAATGATTTATCACACACCTCACATGTGAATGGCTTCTCCCCTGTGTGGATTCGTCGATGTACACGGAGGGTCGATCGTGATGAAAATGATTTGATACAGACATCACATGTGTATGGTTTCTCCCCTGTGTGAATGCGTTGGTGTATAAGTAAGAGTGATGACCGTGAGAATGATTTTTCACATACCTCGCATGTGAATGGTTTGTCACCTGTGTGAATGCGCCGGTGACACACCAGGCCTGATGACTGTGCAAAGCCCCTGTTACACACCTCACACTTGAATGGCTTTTCCCCAGTATGAACGTGTTGGTGTGTGCAGAGGTTTGATAGCTCTATGAACGTTTTGTTGCAAACTTCACATTTAAATGGCTTCTCTCCAGAGTGAATGTGCTGATGAATTACTCGGCCTGATAACTGTACAAATGCCTTGTTACAATCCTCACAGTTGAATGGCTTCTCCTGAGTGTGAATTTGCTGGTCAGTCTCAAGCATCAACTTGTGTTCAAAAGCTTCATCACACAGCTCAGACTTGAAGGGTTTCTCTTCCATGAAGCAGCTCTTGTGTTATCAGTTGTACACCTTATTTTTAAGTGACTTTATGAACCGGTGAATTGCCTTTCACCTAGAGGCAAGAGTCAGTAGTTCATGAGGCTCGATGAATGATTGAAATTCTCACTGCACTTGTAGCCACTCACAGTTCTTCTTAACGTCACCCTGACTGATCACCCACAGCCAAACCTTCAGAAAAGTTGGTTCAGATGAAGGCCCTGCACCACTGACCAGTTTCAGACCTGATGATCTGTTAAAGCTCCCCTGACTGATTGATTTCCAGAGGAAAGTTTCACTGCCCAACCTTCTCTGTGTTGAGCAATGCTGTGAAGGGACTGGATGTCTTTCCACAGTTGTACAGTTGTTCCTTGGGTGATGGTCAGGATCTATCTGTGGAGTCTATCCTCTGTGTTCTCTGGTGTGGTACAGTGCAATCCAGCTGTAAAACAGGAAAAAAAATGATTTCCTCTAACTCCTTGTCCTCCTTTGCTGAAGGGGCTGATTCCTCAGTTAGAGGCTCTTCCACAGTGAGTGTGCTTTACCCTGTGGAGGGAAACAGATGCAAGTCCTTTCTTTTTCCTGCTGCACACCATCTGTTTCCAGCCAGCTCACTGGATAGTGACCAGGAGCAGACAATGGAAATTTAGTCAGGCTGTTTGTAATATGGGCTCTCAATTTGCTATTAGCTCTGATTACTGAATGAATCAATCTGGAAACATCCTACACTTCTCAGTCACCATCCTCGAGTACGTCCAATTCCATTGGCAGGTGGGGAAGTCCTTAACATTGACTTTGTAGAATCTCATCGTGTCAGGTCAAACGTGTTCAAGGAAAACTACCACTCCCCCACAACTGATGAATGAGTCCTTCACTATGTTCATCACTACAAGGGAGGTAGACTAAGGACAGATCCCAAAACTGGGTCTCTATAGTATGCAGTGAGCCATAAGCAGCAGCAGGATTTATTCCACCACAACCTCACAGCCTACCACAGCCCACATTCCATAATTATCATCAAACCAGTGGACAGGTCAGGGCAGCATTTGGGATAGATTTAAACCAAGTGAATGGTTAACATCAAGGCTTAACACCAAGAGTAGCAGGTAATAATAAACAGGTAATGTCTTAGATGTAACAAGGGGACAAGCAACATTGGATTTAGTAATGAGTAATGAGCCAGATTTAATCAGTAATTGTGTGTGAACATTTATCAAACGGGGTCATCATAATACGATCATATTCAATGTAACGTTTGAAAATGAAAAGCATGAATCAGCCACTAGAGTTTTAGATTTATGTATGGCCAACTTTAACGAAATGAAACAGAGACTATCCACAGTATAAACTGGGAAAATCTGTGAATTGGTGAAACAGCTGAAATACAGTAGAGAATGTTTAAAAAAAATTCAAAATAATACAAAATCAGTTTATGCCCCTAAGAGGGAGAAGCTCCACTTCACAGAAAAAAAAGCATCCATGGACAACTAAAGAGACAAGAGTAAAACTAAAATAAAGAGCTTATAAAAATGCAAAAAGTAAGCACAGATTCAGCTGAATGGCAGAGATACAAAGATCACCGAAGGGCCACAAAGCAGCTTGTATGAGTTATGGCAACAGATTATTAAAGGAAACTTTAATACATAAAGGGAATGCGGGTGGTCAGGAGCAACGTTGGCCCACGAAAGACTGAAAATGGGGATATTGTCAATGACAGTCATGTTGACTAATTACTTTGCCTCAACAGAAAAAGTAAAAAATTTTGGGTAGAAAAGGAGAAAAGCTTGCCAGAAGTCCTGAGGAAATTAATAGTAGATCAAGAACAGGGACTGAATAAAAATTTACATTATATAAAACATCAGGAAGGAGGAAATTAATGGAATTAATGAGTGACAAATCCTGGGACGTGGCGGTTTCCACCCAAGGATGTTAAAGGAAGTAGAGCAGCACAGTGTAGACACCCAAACTATAATCTTTCGAGTTCCCTAGATACAAGAATCAACCCTCTAGATTGGAAAATTGCACATGTTGCCTGATTTTTAAGAAGAGCAAAATAGGAAAACCAGGAAATATTAGACCAGTTAGCCTAACATCTGCGGTGGAGAAATTGTTGGAGTCAAGGATAGGGTAACTGAACACCTTGAAAATTTTCAATTAATCAGGGGAGCCAGCATGGATGTAATGACAGTTAGGTCATGCGTGACAAATCTCATTGAATTTTTTGGAAAGGTGACTAAGACAATGGACAGGGGAAGATCTGTGGATGTTGTTTACATGGACCTCCAGAAGGCATTTGATAAAGTGCCACATAAGAGAGTGTTAACTATCAACGTCTACAGAATTGAGGGCAAATTACTGATAGGGTTGGGAAATTGGTTGAGTGGCAGGTGACAAAGTAGGAATAATGGGTATGTACTCATATTGATAGGATGGGACCAGTGTGTCCCACATAGATGTGTGTTAGGGCCTCAATTATTCATATTATTTATTAACGATTTAGATAATGTCATTAGAAAGTCATATATCCAAATTTATTGATGACACAAAATCAGGCGACATTGTAAACCGTGTAGATGATGGCATAAAGTTACAAGGGATATTGATAGATTAAGTGAATGGGCAAAACCATGGCAGATGGAGTTCAATTTAAGTAAATGTGAGATTATCCATTTTGGAACAAAAAAATAGCTCATTTCTTGATGATATGAAGTTAAATATTTTGAAGTGGATGACCACAGATTTGGGGGTTCAGGTATACAGATCTTTAAAATATCACAAACAGGTGCAGAAAATATTCAAGAAAGCTGGCCTTTTCACCTGGAGGACCAGAGTCTGAGATCAAGGATACAGAAGTAAAGCTGTATGATTAGAACCCACTTGGAATACTGTGAGTAGACCACACCTTAGAAAAGAATTATTGGTCTTGGACAACGCAGGTTTACAAGAATCATACCTGGATTTCAGGGATTAAGTTATGGGGCCAGATTGTAGAAATTGGGCTTGTTTTCTTTGTAGAATTTAGAAAGTTAAGGGGTGATCTAATTGAAGTCTTAAAGATATTAACCAGAAAAGACAGTGTAGATACACTATTTCCACTAGCTGGAGATTCTAGAATTAGGGGGCATAATGTGAGAATTAGGGCCAGACATTCAGGAGAGATGTTAGGAAGCACTTCGATACACAAGGGGTGGTAGATGTTTGGATCTCTCTTTCACAAATAGCATGGTGGATCAGTTGTTAATTTTAAATTTAAGATAGATAAACTTTTGTAAAGCAAAGGTATTAAGGGATATGGACCAAAGGCAGGAACATGGAGTTAGGCTACAGATCAGCCATGATCTCATTGAATAGTGGAACAGGCTCAAGGGGATGAATGGCCTACTCCTGTTCCGATGTTCCGAGAACAAAACAGTCCTATAACCAACAAATCGAACAAAGTTCTGTAGTCCTACCACAACTTGTTGACAATTGTGGAAACCAGTCAAGTAACAGGAGGAGAGTTCTGATCACTCCAATCCTCCCCACTGTTGAGAAGTGTGCTACAAGTGCAAAGTGTCTTGATTGTTATATTTCACCTGGAATGGGGGTTGGTGGGGAGTTGTATAATTTTACCCAGAATCAGGCTGGGGGTTTGCTTACAATAGGCACTGGTTGAGACTTGCGGAGCAAGATACAATAATCTCCCCAGTATCTGGCACACACAGAAAATCAGAAGTATAGGCTACCTAAATCTGTTGGTTGCATAAGAAACACTGGTGGTGGCTGGAAGAACTCGACTTGTTGCTGCCACAAGCTGAATGTGTATTCTAAAAATGAGTAGTGAGGACTGGTATACCTGTCCATGATAGTTGATTCTGTCTTAAGGTAAGCCTTGAACTAACTTTGATAAAGTATCTGATCCATTATTCCCTTCCAATTGCTAACATAGAAGAGTCCCTGTTTTCCAGATCCCTAGCACCTGGAATTTCCCTTTTAAATCTTGGATGCCAGTTGCATGAAAATTCCAGATGCTTGGGATCTGGATAACCAACTTTACTGTACAAAGTTACCACACCTGAAAACAAAGGCAAGAGGAGCTGAGGCTGACTGGAGAGACTTTCTGTTTTTGGGACACGGAAAAAGACAGAGAGGGAAGCCAAGGAATGCAGTCAGTGTGATCAGCAGAGAGGAGAGGGTGTCTTTTCTGTAGGCTGCCAGGCAAAATATGGGAGGGAATATGGTCACTGATTGAAGAGATACATCTTGTGACAACTGAAAGACTCTGAAAGATTTGTCCTAGTGTGGCTGGGAAAGTAATCATTGTAGGGAGCCTCAGTGTTGGAAATTGATTCAGAATTTGTCTGAAAACTGAGGAACACCTTTTGACAGTCACTCAAAGTTATCATTCAGTGAAATGAAGAGAAGCAAACCTGTTGGGAAGTTGAGTGGGATGTTGAACTGGATTCTTTAAAAATTGTAAATCTGTACATTGTATGTTATTCTGTTATGTTAAACGTTAAAGAGGTATTTTCTTTTCTGCAACTTAAGTTACTTACCACTTATTGTTGGTCTTGGTTTGTTAGTGTAAAATTCCTAAATATGTAACTTTACTTATTCCTTTGAGTTGATACTGAGAATTCAAACAATTTTAAAAGTTATCACTCTCTACGCAAACTGTAAAGTTCAATGAATCAACACAACCAGGAAATAGATGATTTGATTATCATATTGCTGCTTGTGGGCCCTTGCTGTGAACACACTGGCGGCTGCATTTCTTACGTTAAGACAGTGTCGACACTTCAGAAGTATTTAATTGGCTATGAAGCACTTTGGGACATCTGGTAGTCATGAAAGCCTCTATATTTTTTCATTTCTAAGGAGTTTAGAAGGATAAGGAAGTCTTGAAGGGATTTGAAAAGACACCTGACCATTTCCCATCCACAAGATCAGCTTCCAACACATACACAGAACTGAACAATAGGAAATCAGTTGAAATCCTCAGACACTTTGCACCACCCAGATAGTTACAGGGGGAGGTGATAGCCTAGTGATATTATCACTATCCACAGACCCAGGTAATGTTCGAGGGATCCCCTCCTCCCACCTCAAGCCCCACCCACATCTCCTACCTACTAACCTCATCCCGCCC